AACATTTTACTCCAGGGACAGGATTTAGGGTACGGAGGTACAGCCCATAAGTTTTGTAGATTTTACTAGCAAGGGGTGTTCAGCTAGGAGGGGGGGGAGGGACTGCGAATCAGGTATGGTCTTCTGCGAATTTGGTACCACGCACCACACCATACCCAAATTACATTAGGCCGTACCCAATTCACACAGGGCCATACCTAATTCGTAGTTCTCCCCCCCTCCTAGCCGAATACCCCTTGCTAGTAAAATCTACAAAACTTACACGCTGTACCTCCGTATAGTACTAGTTTCTTAGAGGGCTGAGCGTTACGTGTTGCATGGAGCACGGCATACCTTTTGGGTGCAAGGCACCATATCATACATCAAAACTAGGGCACCGCCCCTTCCCAGCACCAAAACGTGTCTTCCCCTTCCCTCCCTTCTAGAACTGGGGCACCTACTGGGGCACCTCCGATAGCCCTGCACTCCGCGCGCTCTCCCAAATAGAGGAAATACACTAGTCTATACTCCCGGGACTCCTAAACGCCGCATCATATCATACGCTTTCCAAGGACATCCCGAACTCCCACACTTTGGCCTGGCTGCACTAGTCCTTCAAGCGCAAGAACGTGCTATTTTTTTTTCACTTTTTTTGAACATGCTAATGAGAATTTGGTAGTGGCGAGTCCGAACATCGGTGGGTTCAAGTATAGTACGCTCTCCCCAATCGTCCTCTAGAGATTACCATTTGTGACCAGGTTGATAGGATCCTAAAGGAGGGGTGCCCGAGTAAGGAGGTGAAGCGCTAGGGAATCCCTGTGGAGGGGTTGGGTTTGATGAGATGGTCGAAGGCTTGCCGGGACCCGGCAACGCACAGGACTGAGAAGAGCTATCTATGCTGATGAGGCTTACTTGGCTTGGGGTCATAGGGGGCCTCCCCGCACGGGGCTGTTGGGAGGTTGGAGAAGGTTTTTTTTATAGTGCCCAATAGATCACGATATCCTCGAATACACACCATTGCTAGATCCAGTGCAACATATGATACGACCCGTTGATAGTACTAATGCCACCTGCCAGCACTCTATGAATGACAAATCACCTCAATCACCTCACCGCAACCGAAGTAGCACCACAGCATATATCCTATGCGAGTCCAAGAAAATGACAAGACTTGAATGAAATGGGTTTGAAAAAGAGAATCCAAGCTAGCCAGCTACCATCTGAAATCTCCCCAACAACAGCCACGAGTACTTCAATGGTAGACATGTGCCCCCGGACGTGCATGTATACTATCCTCCCTGGTGACGGCTGGGAGCATGCCTTGATTGTGCTTGAGGATTGAATTCACAATTCTCTCAACTTCCTGTCGTTCGCCCCAAATTAGCATACGCCCTGAAAATATAACCGCAAAAAAAATCTGAGCCAACCTCGACATCGCCAGTAGGAACCTTAGAAATCGAGACACCGAAATGTTCTGATACTTGCATGAGCTGCATCCAGCTAGTTGTATCGTGCACAAAGCTGATGCTGACGCCAATCCGCCCGAACCTTCCGGTGCGGCCAATCCTATGAAGGTAAGTCGGAAAATCAATCCTCCTATCCTTGTCCATGGGGAGGTCATAGTTGACGACCATGGAGACGGTGGAAACGTCGATCCCCCGGGCTAGAACATTGGTCGTAATCAAAACCTTTGTACGACCCGAGCGGAAGTCGTCGATAACCTTATCACGGGCTACTCCACCATTCTCAAGGGCAGAATGGAGGACAGATATTTTATGCCCTTCTAAAGTCATACGTTTCGCTATACGTGTTGCCTCATCGCGCCGCTGGTAGAGGTTAGCAATCTAATCAAAAAAGTTTGCTTCCAGGAGTTGCTAACATGGACAAATATAATTGACGATCCGATGGTCAGAACATGGTAGAGTTGCACCAGAACGCCAAATTTAGCCTCAGCGTCTAGGCAGTCCATGTACATTTGCTTAATGCCACTAACAGTCAACTCATGATGCTCAAGAGTCATTGTAAGGCAATCCGGTGCGTATCTCTTGCTGAATTCAACAATCCTTGGAGGAAAAGTAGCGCTCCAGAGCAAGATTTGAACCTTATGACGTATGGTACTAGCCAAGTTAACGCTGGAAGCAGAGAGAGAAGCCCAGGCACCTACGATTTGATCCGAATACACTGCTCACCTAGCCCTTGTAGATCGAGCATGTTGTCCGCCTCGTCGATAACCAACATTTTGAGACGATCGAGACTCAACATCCCTCTTCGAACACAGTCCAACGCAGTTCCAGGGGTTCCTACGACGATGTGGGCGTCGAATTCCTTTCCCTTCACAAACAGGGTTGGGATGGCGAATTGTGTTCTCACGCCCATGTACTGGCCGAGCCCCTGGATAACATCCATTATTTGCCTGGCGAGTTCCCGGGTAGGAGCAAGGACAAGTCCTTGAGTGGAACGCTTTGTCAAATCGATACGAGTGAGCATGGTGATAACGAACGCTGCAGTCTTTCCGGTCCCTGACTGGGACTGTCCCAGCAGGTTTCTCGGAGGGTCCTGTAAGAGAATTGGGATCGCCCGGGCCTGGATTCTCGAAGGCCATCTAAAGTTCAACAAGGCCAGTGCTCTCAAAAGCGTTTCAGGACTGAATACAGAAAAAAAAATTAGTTGGTAAAACTGAGTCACTTTGTACGGTGGGAGGTTAAAAACCAGTGGGGTGAGAGGTATCAGGGCGGATAGGAAGGAATAAAAATGAGAAATGTAAACCCACAGACCAAACTCATCAAAAGTTTTACGATGAGTATCGCCGGAAGTATCATTGAAGGCTTTCTTATGAATGGAGTCCATCATAGGGTGATCCACCGTCCCAGGAACAGCAGAAGTACCGCCGGAGACTGCTTGATGAGCGGACATCGCGGGGGGCGGATCCAAGGGCCTGACAACGAAAGAGAGGGTGTTGTCATCCGTGTCGGGATCCAGAGTCAAGTCGTAGAATTTACCATCACTTCCCTGAATTGGCTCAGTCATTTCGAATAGCCGAAGCGAGTGGGGATCGAATATCTCTTAAAATTGTATAAGTCACGATAAGATGGTGGAAGGTGGTTGCCAGAGGAGGGGTGAGGAGGGGAGGAAAGCGAAGGAAAGAGGAACGGTAAGGGCGCGACAACGACGTGAGGAAGCCGACATAAGGGGCAAACAGAGCGGAGACACAACCCAAGGTCAGAGGGTAGAAAACACGGGGTTTTCCCCAAAGCTTACGATGTCTTTGTCCGGGTCACGCAATTATTATTTTTCCCAGAGGTACAAGCGAGTGATCTTTCGTGATATCACGATATATCATTGATATTGCCAAGATGCGCCAAGCAAAATGCAAGAATAAGGGAATGTCACATTACACATGATCTTTGTCAGCAAGTCACAAGACAATGCATACCCCTGTGGCTTTCCATGGGAGGTCACGGCGTCACCCCCAACAACTTGGCACCCTTGCATTGCTTCGCGCCGGGAAAAGTAACAGCTCTGCACTGCTTGTTCACAGGGTCCAGCACCCCAAATCGAGCGTGGGCGACCGGAAGCGGAGCGAGTCCAGTTCCGCCTCGAGACTTGAGGACAACCACTACCGTAACACAAAATAATATGCAAGGGTACGGATGAGTGACAGCGTGACTGACCGCAAGAGCGTGTGAAGCGTGTTCTCTCCCTTATCCCAGGGACCTTTGCAAAACCCCCCCCCCACCCATCCATCCCCTTCTTCGCTGCCCCCAAGCGCCTCGGGCTCCGGAGTGGATTACCGTATCCTATTCCTGACAGCCATTCACGGCAGCCTAGCTGGCTGTCCGTTTTACCTCTCTCTCCTTCCTTCCTTCCCTCTCTTCGCCTTCTCCTCTTCCATCACCATCTCAGCCCTCCAGCCCCCACCCCATCACTACAATACTACTCACCTCCTTATCCCACATTCCTTCCCCCGAGTAGACTAAGATTCGCTGGTTTATAGGGTTATCCCGCATCCATCATCGTCCAAGCCTGTCGTCATAATTTCACTCTTGAGCCCCCCATCCGGACGGCCCTAGCGAAAGCTTAAAGTTGAGCCCCCAGCATGGCCTCATCGATTGTATTCGCTGCTTGCCCACCAGCTCTGGCCCAGCTCGTCGAACCCTATGCCACCAGGATCGGTCTGCACACACTTCCGCTTCACATCCACCAGGTGATATTTGCACTCGTAATCTACCACCTTATCTTCCTTATCTCACCGACACTTTCCGCCTTCATCTTCCCGAAAACTTACCGCAACTTCGACAGACGGACCAAGGTCAACTGGGATGTGCATGTTGTTTCCCTTGTTCAGAGCATCCTCATCTGCACTTTGGCGATATGGGCCGCCTACCATGATCCGGAGCGGGACGCGTGGAGTAAGGATGAGGCTTCCATGATGAAACGAACTTTCGGATACAGTCCTATCCAGGGCGCCGTTCAAGCCTACGCGGAAGGGTACTTTGTTTGGGACCTGCTTATGAGTGCGTGGCATTTGGACATCTTTGGGCTCGGGTTTCTAGCGCATGCTGCCAGCGCCGTAATTGTTTTCAGCCTGGGCTTTGTGCGTACTCGCTTTTTGTCTTTTTTCGCTTAATGGTGGTGGTGGCACAAGGATTTTTAGCTAACGCCCCTGTTCTTCTTGCACGAGTCCAGAGACCTTTCGTCAATTATTGGGCGTGCGTATTTGTGCTGTTTGAGATCTCTAGCCCATTTCTCAATATTCACTGGTAACAACATCTCACCTCCGACCTCCCAGCTACCACCGCTTGTTAAATGCTAAACAATCAATAGGTTCTGTGATAAAACAGGAATGACCGGGTCACTCCTCCAACTGATAAACGGCTTCTTCCTTTTGACCAGCTTCTTCTGCTGCCGTCTCATCTGGGGAACTTGGAATGCACTATTAGTCTTTGGTGACCTCCTCGCCCTCTACAAAAACCCGCCACCAGCCCTGCGCCCATTGGACCATGACCCTATCCAGCCGGACCATCCCGAAACCGATGAAATCGTCGTCCACGCATTCGCTGGAAAGGATCTCCCATTCTGGCTCTTCATGGCCTACCTCGGCTCCAACATCATCCTGAACCTGCTGAACTATTACTGGTTCTGCCGGATGATCCAGACCGTCAGTGCAAGGTTTACGAAGAAGGAAGAGCCGGTCAAGAAGGAGAAGGAAAAGGGGGGGAATATTAAGGTGGATGCCGACGGAAAGGTCTGGGTCGAGGGGACGGATGTAAACGTTGGAACCACAGTGGAGGTCGCGAAGGAGAAATTGAAGAAGAGAACTGTCACCAGGCAAGCTTAAGGCTGCGCTTTTCCTCCCTTCCTCTCCTATGGTTTCCTCTCCCC